GACAAATCTTGACAATAAACGGAAATCTTAATCAATGATTGGTGTTTGATGACACACAGAAAGAGACTGTAAACTCAAATTATTACTCCCTCTTTTTTGTAACAGTAAAATGAGTTCATCAAATTATAATGGCAGCAAATGAAAAATTTAGTTAATTAGGGGAAAGTGAGGATTGTAGATGTTAAATAACAAATGTCAGAGGTTCCTTTTATAACTCTGTTGATGGGTAATATTATATGAATTTGTATGCCAATTGATTGGCGACTTGCACGGGAAAGAGAAAAAGGAAAGAAAGAAAAAAAACAACAACCTTAACCGGAATCCAATTCGTTCTCATCACACTGTTTTTCAGGAATGGTGATTCTTCTACTTCTTTTCCTGCATCTTATCTTGTAATAATTAAAGAAAAAGGAAGTGACAAGAACTAGTGTAGGAATGTGTCAAGACTTCATCTCTTTTAGTACAGATTGTGCTTAAGCCTTGTACAGATAACATCAAGCAGCTAGCTTGTGTGAAATAAGGGACATTTGATTTTGAACAAATGTGGCTCTTTTTCTGTTGTTACGCAGTGGATTGCTTGCAAATGTCTTAAGGTCCTGGTATGCTTCAGTCCCATAGAACATTATACTTCTGCACTTTCTCTGCTGAACAACTCTCTGCCAGGGCTGTGCTGTACACCAAAAGCAAACAAATAGTCAAAGCTAACCATCAAGAAAGAAAGAATTGTGCTATGTGTATAGATGATATGAATTAAGCAAAGTTGTATATTTTTGTGTGCATAATGATGGCCATGTGGGTAGCCAAAGAGCTAGGCTTGACCACTGAAGCATAATTTCTTGACCAATGGAAATATGCCATAGCATTTCCTTTGACAGGTGGCTTAACATTTCTTTATTTTCAGGATTTATATCCAGTTTTTCCAACCAATGCTGAAAATAGCTTACAATCATTCTATACAGATAAAGGCACAAAACCTTAACAATAAATAGAAATCTTAATAAGGGTTAATGAATTGGCACTTAATGAAAATATAGAAAGGGATTATAGAGAACAATACTTAATGATGGTCTTGAGTCTTCCTGCAGATATGATTAGTTCTGCCTTTGTTTTGAGTCCTGCTTATTTCTTGTGTGCGTGCTTAATGTTTAAATTGCATTTGCATTTTAATTTTGCTTTTGTTTTTCTGATGCCTAGCTTTTTCTGTTAGAAGCGTAGAATATGCATATTATATTAGTTGCAACACTAAATAGTCCAAGACACCAATCCACAAAAGAATGCTGAATTAGAACAGACTTTTCTTCCTGTTTTAAAAGCAAACAGTGAAGGGCAGTGTAATGTACATTTTGGATGCCACTTTGAGAAGGCCCTGTTTTTTTCTGACTCAATAGATTGGGGGGCTCAATAGATTGGGGGAAGGGAGAATGATGGTGTGCTAAAGTGGACTGTGTTCACTGTTTGCTTGTTTTGCATTTATAGTATATTCATATTCCTGACTATATCATTACAGGTTCACTAGCACTGCATACCGCTATGGATTCTTATTGCTATTTTTCACATGCCCATTCTTTAATACATCACCATGTTGATCTTTATGTATCCAAGTGCTATAGATACACATATTCAGGTAACCAATGCCACAATAAGAATAAAGGTAAAGGTAAAGGTTTCCCCTTGACATTAAGTCCAGTCATGCCTGATTCTAGGGGGTGGTGCTCATCTCCATTTCCTAGAGTCTTGCTAATTCCCACCCTTGTTAAAGGCTGCATTAATCTAAAATATGATGTTTTGCAGAGATTCTGAGTCAGGCTTCAGGTTTCAAGGCTGTCAATATAGCTTGGCCAATGGAAGATTTCTGCAGTCACAGCCTACAAACGATTCCAGTCTTTGTAATAGGTAGAGTAGGAAGCTGCCTTTCATGGCTGCCAAGAAATATGGGAATCCAGCCATGGATCCAGATGAATCTTCCTACAGAAAGTCAAATATCTATGAGTCTGAATCATATCAATAGCCCATCAAGCCCAGTCCTGATGGCACCAATTATCTGGGTTCCCCACAAAGGTGTTCTTCATTGTGAACGTTAATATCTGATACTCTTTAACTGTTGTTCTGAGCATTTCATTTGTACCTAGGTGAAGGCAGAACATATAATCTACAAATAACTTACAGTTTTCCTTTCTAAATATAGCTTTAATGGTTTGTATATAATTCTTGAGAGAGAGATCAGTTAAGGACAGTGGTTTAATTTTTCAGCGTAACCCCAGGTTCTAAAGCTAGCATGCATATGCATGCATAAGTGCTTTTGGGTGTCAGGTGGGTGTATTATTTAATTAATTAATTGATAATAGGTATTTTATAATCACTCTTCAATTAAATTCCGAGGGTGGTTTACAAAGAGAATCAAACGATTAAAATGAAAATGCAAAAATATGCTGAGCCAAAAATAACAAAAGCATGAAAGTATTGTCCAGCTTGGAGCAGGATGTAAAATATATCTAGGCAGCTCAAGAAAGGTAGAAAAAAGATCTCTTTGACTGCTGACAAGAGGACAAAGTGGGAAATGCCAGGCAGTCCTCTCTGGGAGCCAGAAGTAGACTGGGAGTCAGTCGAGTTAATACAACACAAGTGTTATCTGATCATTAGGTCTAGACCCAGGTAGTAATTTAGTAGCCACTTTCTTCAGTGAAGATGCGAAAATATCAATACTTACATGACAGTAAACACCTTTAAACACAGAGGGAGTTACTTCTGAGTAAATCTGCCTAGAGTTGCATTGCATCCACACTTTCTGAACAGTCTTTGGTGTTAGCACCACATACAGCACGTTGTAGTTGTCTAACCTGGATTACCTGGATAGTCAAGGCTAT